CCAAGTCAAAGTCCGGATTTAAATCCTATCGAAATGCTGTGGTGTGATCTTAAACGGGCCGTTTGAAATGTTAGAAAACCCTCTAATATTGCAGAATTGAAACAATTCTGCAAAGAAGAGTGGGCCAAAATTCCTCCAAAGCGTTGTGAAAGACTCATCACCAATTATTGTAAACGCTTGATTTCAGTTATTGCTGCCAAAGGTGGCACAACCTGTTATTAGGTTCAGGGGGCAATTACTTTTTCACAGAGGGCCAGACAAGTTTGTAATTTTTTCTCCCTTGGTAAATAAAATCATCATTTAGAAACTGCATTTTCTATTTCCTTGGGTTATCTCTGTGTCATACTAAAATTGGTTTGATGATCTGAAACCTTTGTGTGTGATAAATATGAAAAAAACACAGAAATCAGGAAGGGGGGAAATACTTTTTCACGGCACTGTAGTAAACATAGTGTTATTGTGGCTTATCAGCTCAGATAGTGGCTTCATCTAGGGAAGTTTTGGTGTTCCAGTAAATTATTTTAGGGTAACTAGGAGTTGTTTGGGGGGAGAAGGCACCATAATGACAGTGTTTTACTGACAAATGTGTGTTTTAGGCACAAAGTGAAGAGTGAAATGTCTGAGTGAGCAGAAGGGATTATAGTCTGTTGTTGTCTAGGCCTTAGAGATTGTTAGATTTCAGTGGTTTTCACATTTGGTTTGAGTCTGAAAGCAGGAAGCTGCTAAGACACCAAAGGCCTTCCCAAGCACACACATTTACATATCCCCGAACATTCAAAGAGAATTTTTCCTAAATTCTCTTCACACCAACTCCCCAGATTACTCCCTGCTGTTCCAAAACACCTCTACTTCCTAGGAACAATGGGAAGACTTCTGTCCACTACTTTTGATCTACATAACCCCCTGTTGTTGGCAGACCTCAAGGCTCCATCCACTTCCTTTGTAATAACACTTTGCTCAATGACAAAGGGTTCATAAACATATCCTCCAACACTGCTGAATCATGGAGCAGCAGCACCACATAGTGGTGACTGCAAGCACAACCATGGTAATATGATTGGCCACAAGGGGCACGACCTCTTTCCTGCATAGGTTTACCACATTTAAACACACACCCGGGAAGTTGAAAATCACTCCCCCCAGACAGGTATAAAAGTGCACATATGTTCTGAGTGGTACATGCTGCAAATGTGTCACTTCAGGCACAAAGAAGTAAAGAAAGAACTTCATATTTTTAAATGTATCTTATAAAATAACATGAATGTACTTTAAGTGTCTCTACATTCTCTATATCAGAAACTGACACTGTATTTTGTTGTTCTTGTACAGACTGGTCCAAGCAAGAGTTCAGGCTCACTGGGTTGACCCATACTCCTTCACAGGGGCCATGGTAAAGTACTGTCACACCATCTATTCTTATACAGCAACTGCTCTGTTCTATAACCAAACGAGTACAGTCGACAGAATTTTAAAAAACTCTCCGTTGATTTCATTTTTTGTTTTTATTTCAAGTTTGCGTCAGAGGTCTTAAAGCGGCAAGCTAAACCAGACAGATTCCTGTTTCACAGCCTGAAATTTGGGCTGCAACACTTCATCATTGCATAAGCATTGGATTGGATACGTTGGTGGTGTGTTTGTTGTTCTTTTTGGTTGGGATGTTGCTGTGTTTCCAGAGCAGCCCTTAAATTGATTTAAATTGACCCCAAACTGAAGTGTGTACCATTTATTACTGCTGCAATATTTTCCTTTGGTACATTTGTTGTCTCCAGTCTGAAGTTGGTACACCTACTTGTATACCAAAAAAAAACTACTCACATCCACTGTCATTTTCAGTTTTAAACAGTAACCTTTGTTAGTAACATCTCCAAAACCATGATTTCCTCTACAAGGGGTACAATTACTGTCAATTACTGAGGAGTTGGGGCTGTATCCATTTGTTTTAGGATACAAAATAGACACAAGAAGCATTGACACAGAGCGACAAAAAATTGTACAAAATACCTGGCCAGGCTTTTGGCAGCGTGGTTACATCATATTTATGGTTTCATATGAATGGGCGGGTCTAAAGTCCTTTGATGTTAACCAAACAAAGGATATGAAAGGAAAGTATGCCCACATACTTGACACAATGAGAGGACAACAGGACACAAGGCCTGGGTCCCCCTAGAGAAAAGCGTATAATGTTGAAAACCCTAAAATTTCTGATGATATTTCCCGAGGTGTCACTACCCGTGTGATCCTAGTTGGATATGTCATTGTGTTTGTGACGACAGGAGCAGGATGAGGAGAGATGGAAAAAGGGAACTATCAAAAAACATACTCTATCAACTACAGGAAAGTGTAGGCTGAGAGTAACTGATTGTTGATTGCAAAAGGTGACTTTCCATTCAATAGAAAGTAACTGTGCTTCTTTCTGCAGGAGGAGGAGGGGCAGAGTAGTCTCGAGTGTATCCAGGCCAATCAGATATTCCCTAAGAAGTCCCCCATCCTAGAGGAAGAGAACATGCAGGTGAGGAGACTGCTGCTGCTGCCGCCGCCACTGCCGCCGCTGCTCCTGTCAAAAGCAGTTAACCGGGCCTTGAATTTGACAGTTGTGATACGTATATGTGAAGTAGAGCTGACACTGATTAAAGGGCATAATGTGGCATTATTTTATGCAAACTTGTATGTTGTGTATGAACAAAACAAACATTGAAGATTACCAAGCACACCCATAAGGACCTAGAAACATTTGTTTTTTTTAACCTTAAACTTCTAATTTTTAAAGGTATTATTTATATGACCACAAAATAGGCCTAGAAATTTTTTTTTTTTTTTTTAATTATATGAATCCCGAATCCACATTCCTTTGGCCTGTAACACCATCATTGTTGGGGACTTTTGTGGCTGCACTTACATTAATGTGTTTTTCAACTTCTCATGTTTGTCAGGTGCCCTTTCCTGAGCTACATGGGGAGTTCACAGAGTATGTGGGCAGAGCTGAGGATGCCATCATTGCCATGTCCAACTACCGCCTGCACATCAAATTCAAAGAGTCCATCATTAATGTGAGTATCCTCGGCCGATGAGCTCCATGCTCAAAAAGTGACTGTCACTCCATTCAGAATAACTGCACAATCAAGTACAGTGTGTGTGTTTGTATGTTGGAGGCTGTGTGAGGGTGGTTCAGTGAATGAGCAAAGCTAAGACCATTGTGATGACCAGGCTATTCAGAGCTGATCTCTGCACTAGCAGCAGTGCTGCATAACTCTTCCTTCACCTCTGTCTCTTCTGCTTTTATTCATTACCATTGTAGCAATTATTTTAACGGAAAAGCATTAAGAGTCTCACTTCATCTCTCTTGTTTTCCCTTTTTTTACTTAAATTGCTCATTTTCTTTAAAAACATTCTTGTTTGTGACTAAACATTGTCACTTTGTAAATAAAGTTATCATTTGCACTGTGCAGCTTTATCTTTAGTTTGAAATCTAGAAACATATGACTACACCACCATATATTCATATACACTATATTACCAAAAGTATTCGCTCACCCATTCAAATGATCAGAATCAGGTGTCCTAATCCCTGGCCACAGGTGGATAAAATCAAGCAAGTCGCCGACTTTCTGCACAGTCAATTGCTACAGAGCTACAAACTTCATGTGACCTTCAGATTAGCCCAAATACAGTACGCAGAGAGCTTCATGGAATGGGTTTCCATGGCCGAGCAGCTGCAGCCAAGCCACACATCACCAAGTGCAATGCAAAGCGTCGGATGCAA